TATACATATATATAGCGCTGGAAGAAAGAAGGAGCAAACGAAGCAATACGTTGATAAAGCACTGCTCATAAAACAGGAAAATAGTCGAATGTCTGTCGATATATCTGATAATGCTCTTCTGTTACGCGTGTCTGTATGGACGTTTGCATTGTTATTAAACGGGGTCGTTTTTATAACCCCGTCACAATTTTGACGTCATCACAGCTCATAGAATTCGTGTTCCTTTAAGATTTTTGTGTTGTCATAAAAATAGACAAAAGTCTGTGACTGTCACGCTGTTCGAAGATCGCAGACCACACGTGCGTTGAGAGTAAAAAGAAAATTTGTTCATAAATCATCTGTTGTCTTAGAATTTAAACGGAACAATGCCTGTAGCGGCTTAGTGATGTATCCGCTTCGGTATTTCTATTCTTTGAACTTACGACTGAAGAATAATATTAAAAAATATATATATTTTACTAGATTAATGTCAAAACAAAATTTCTACGCTTGTTTCTTTTGCGTAGCTGATACAGTATCAAGGATACATTTGATACTACAGCACACGGGATCGAATGCAAACACGCAATGCCGTCTACTGGTTAATGATGGTGTCGTCCTTGCATCGTCGTAGATAAAATTAGCGAGATTTTACTAAGAATCCGAGGAAACTATATTCTGCCTTTAACGGAGCAGTAAACCACACTTAGAATTGTGACTAACCGATCCAGTGAGGGCGTCGATCGCGAAATGTCCCTGCGAGTTTCCCCCGATGATTGAAAACCGAAGTACGGCATTTTCGTTCGCGTCAGCGTCCTTCGCTTCAACATGCACAACTTCAGGTTTGTCGATCCAACTAATATTCTCCGGAACCTGAAAGAATATATATATACATGCTCGAGTACGATGATTTTGCCGTGCACGTGATGTTCTAGTTTAAAACTACTGTGTCGTAAATAAAAATTGGAGTTCGAGTAAGCCCTAAACGCCACCAACCTAGGTAAAACAAGTCCTTCGAGATTTATATCCGATTCTGTTGCTTTGGCTAAGCATTCCTTCAGACGGCAGGCCCATCCCAGAACGAAACAAAACGTATTTAAGCCGGATTCAAACCGTCACCACTTGGAGTATTCGACGGCATAAAGATGGCGAAGGAACAACAGTTTTAACTTAGTAGCCTAAGACGCACACTCACCTCGACACTGTAACTTCGTTCGCTGAACTGTGGATAGTTATCGTTGTCATCAAGTACGGTTAGGAGCAACTGAGCAGTTGAAGTGAGTCTCTTTTGCACAGGTGCTCCGTCTTCCGCACGGATGGTAATTAGGTACTCCGACATGCGCTCACGATCTAGGGCAGCCCTCGTATAGATCACCCCACTTGTCGCATCGATTGCGAACACATCGGTCGCATCCTGTACGGGTTGATCACCAGGATTAATCAGTTGTTAAAAAAAAAAGTTATTTTTCAACCCGATTGATTGATTGATCCCTGGTCAAGTTTCGATCTGGAGTGTCTCACAGATTCCGGCTATCCTGGGCGTTCTGTTTATTGACTACCGGAATTCAATCGTAAACTGTATATGGTGTGCAGTTTGTTAGACAGATGATTCACTAATAAACTCCAAATATGCTAATATATGTATCCCCTTTGGTCGCTTAGTTTATGACCGACTGATCCAATACGAAACTAGACTTTTTTTTTTGCGAAGTTGTCCCGACACGAAAATATATTGCAATATGTCTATAGGTTTCATGATATGCCACACGATAAGTGCGTTAAATAAAATTGATTGATAAAATGTAATCTAAACACATTCATACCTGCAACGAGTAAGTGACCTTTGCATTCTGTTCGGCATCAGAATCGGTCGCTCGAGCTGTGAGAATCGTCGATCCGACAGGACTACTCTCCCGGACGGATGCCTCGTAACGACTTTGTTCAAACTCCGGCGTGTGGTCATTTTCATCCAGGACACTTACCTGATTGTATAAATACATTTTAAATAAATAAAAGAACTGCATGTGTGTTGTTCAGCAAGAAGAAGATGCGTTAATTTCTAGCACGTTTTTATTTGCAATGATATTTTTCCTTTGTAATTTCAAAGGGTTGCCATTTCGAAGTTCCTTTAAACGAACGTAAGTGACGTAAGCAGGGCCTCCCGGACAAAACACTATCTGCTTACCTGAAGTGTGGTCGTTCCAGTCACCGGCGGATTTTGGAGGTGATCAACAGCAATAACCCTAAGGAAGTGGCGAGGCATCTGTTCCCGGTCGAGTGTCTGTGTAGTCATTACCACACCAGAACCCGAATCGATACGAAACAGCGCATTGCTACGGGCGTCTAGGGCTGCTTCGAGCGAATACTTCACTGACGGATTTGGATGGCGGATATTAATGGTATCGACAAGATAGCCTGGGTCCTTTCCTTCGGGCACACTGGTCAGGCACATCGCGCTTGCGAACAGATTGTCGTCCTCGAGTCCACGGCGGACCCTAATTCGCTCATGGGTCCAAGAAATTTTTATTGGGACTTTAGGCTGATTCAAGCCGCAGATTGCAGAGCCTCGGACGCGTATTTGCGTCTCATTATAGCATCGGTCAACTCCACGATACACCACGTCCTGGCCGTGAGGTTCGACGGCAAATAGATGATCTCCTGATTTCGGTGCCTCGATCGAAGCGCTCCCGCACGTCGACGGAAGAATGTCGCTGAGTTTAGCGATCAGCTGGGTAGACTTTAAGCAAACACTAGCGTCCTTAGGTGTCCGTAGGGTGACCTCTAAGGGACGAATCTTTGGCACTGAATACGCAGGATTGCCACACTGCTGAAAGTGCAGCCTCAGTGGAATGACTATGTGCGCATACTTAGAGAATCCACTAAGCTCAAGATCTGCGGAAGCTTCGTTGATACACAGGTAAGGTTCTTCAATAAATAGTGATCCGGTTTCATTGTTCACTCCAATGTAATGTCGAAGCCAATGGCCATCCAACCTGAAACGCTCGGCAGTTAGTCACGACAATTAACAACCTATTCGCTCATAGCTAATCTTCGCCGACCTATTAACGATCTGGCAGAAGAGTAAAGTTCGAAACAATGCTTCCTCACTGATTCACAGCGTAGGCCGATAAGTTCGTCGTTATTTGTGACGTCCTCTGTTATAGTCAATCTACAGTGTCTAATCGCTGATTGTTAGAGAATCAATCCACAGCCGTTCGATTAGATTGATTGAACGGCTTGACAACTAGCTACGTGACAATACCCGTATGCCGAACACCATATCATATCAGAATCGTTATATGCTTGAGTCAAACACTTGCCGGTTCGATATCGTGTACGCCAATCGAAGTGTATTCGTCACCAGTCCATCAAATATCTTCTGTGATCGTTGATTACTGCTCTCCGAAATCTGAACCTCAACTGTGCCGGTGTTCCTGCACACGGCAAATGCCGTCAGGGTTATAAATAGGGGAAGAAATCGACAAAGGAGTCCCACAAAGTTCGGGCCTACCATCTTCATTGTTCGTTTAATCTCTGTGACCGCGTATCAGTTACATTTTTTTTTTTTCATTAGACGAATCGATAGCGTGCCTACCACATTATGTTCAAAGGGCCGCATGCAAAATCGACTCAAGCGATCGGCGTAGTAACCTATACACTGCGGCTAATTTCGCATCATTTACTTTCACAATTATATCGAAGGCGCATAAACGACACTCTACACACTCTAAGGACACTATTTATTGAGCCGTGAAAGCTTGCGGTAGGGGAATGCGGCCATACAACTGGTCCTGGTTCGTCTTGTAGCTTCTCGTTTGTCAGGGGGGAGTTCGACGTCGTATCGCTGATTGCTAGGTTCGTCTGAAAAAAAATCCGAGAAGACAAACAAATTGGAACAAATTGAATGTGGATGAATACATATAACGCTGCGTGAAAAAGTGACTTCACAGTTGTCAGAGTAACACACGGAACAGCTTCGACTTCAAATCCGTGACAGCACTCTGTCCTATGTCGATAGACAACTTGTGATACATAGGTAAATATGTATTGTATGCAAGTTATTTATGTTGTCCAGCACCACTAATTGCTTTATTAGAAAATAAAGCGAGTAACAATGTTGGAATTTAAAGCGTTTTTCCTCCTGTATTTACCCAGACTGATAAGGACCACAGATAGAGAAATCATTATAGATGTACTTCTGTAGCAAAAAAATGTCCGTTGGAGAAAATTTCAAGGTTTCTATCCTTTTCCAAAATGACAGTCTTTTCACATACATACACTGCGGTCGCCATAGTAGCTCTCCATAATCGACCGTCGACTGCCGAATTCAATATCAACTCGTTCTTGAGCTGATTCGTCAAAAAACTCACATATACTTTCAGCATATGTTACGCGAGTGAAGTACACAGCCACCGTCGATCGTATCGTTTAGTGCAGAGCACTTATCGAATGGTAGCATGTAGCTCACGTCGAAAATTGCCCAACGAGGGCTTACATAAACGTCTATCGATTATCTTTTTGAGAGGCCCAGAATCAATGTTAATTCAGAATATCAATCACTGGGCCACAGCCCAGCACAGTCAAGGTAGTCGAACTTGGAAAACAACTGTACCGTCGTGACCAGCGCGAAATCGTGCCATTAACCACAATCACAATGGTATTAATAACCAAAAATAAGCACAAAGCACGAAAAAGCTAGCTAGATAATGTGGCAATAACCATTCACTTTTCTTTGGACTTTTTAGTGGAACCTGCCTATGTTTTGGCATCTTTATACAGTCAGCTGTTATAATTAGATGAGAAAATATGCACGCAGATGAGCGTGATGATTACCACTACATGGATATGGTTACCTTTAATTGGAAATAATTACTATATATAGTCTGCTCCACTAATTAAAATATCTCCAGTGAAAAAAATCGGACGTGGCTAAAGTCAAGACCGTTTTTTCCAGCTGTCCGTATTAGAAGTTACCAAGTCGAAACGACCAACCAATCGATCTTCCAGATCGACTGATTAAATCCTACTCCACATTGATATACATGTTGATATGTGCCAGCACACTGATTTTAATTAACCATAGCTTTTCCACAATTGCGCTAAATTCTCGATGGATTTCGGCTTCAGACAACACCTGATTGAATTGTTATCAGTAGGTAGCACTGTGATCAAACAGTTCGGCAGCGAATTCTCGAAGGACATTTGACGAAAATGCATTAGCGGTAATGATCCGCTACTAATCGAAGCACCCCCCCAGGGGTCCAACGTGACGTATTTCCCCACTCATCAGTGCCGATAGAGAGAACATTACCGCAATGTCGAAACGAGCTATAGGAGGTATCGGAAACGTATCGAACAACTACAATCAAAGGTGCTTTGCGTGTCCGAGGTAAGTATCAGCCTACGCAATTTACAATGGCTCGAGTGGCCGACATTAAAAACACACGACACAAGCAGCAGAACGACATTGTTAGGGAGCAAGTGATTCTGGTCACCTCAGTGAACGTAGTGGATGACAAGGGGTGTCCGAATCATTAAAAGCATCGCCCACATTTTATAAAATAGCAAAAATTAAGCCATTATTCGGACTCTTACGATTGCGAGAAAACGAATATTCCGCAACAAGCAATTATTATACTTAGGTGATTATTCTTAGATGATTCGATAGACATTATTGCATGCAAACGGCGTGTGGACACAGAATTTACGTACGTAAATAATTTATGTAGGTTTAGTACCTGGCAATAGATTAAACCTACTTTGCAAATTCCTATTGACGCAATATTTAAAGTCTTCCACATCATGTAAATAGACCCAAAGCCGGGTCGACCAAGCAGTCCTCATAGCAACGTATAATACCTTTGACACGTGTAGTTAATACGGTACCCAGGTAAAACGCAAAACCCAACTAGTCGTCTTTCGGCACTCGAAAAATAATGTACTGGATACCTTTACATTTTTTTTTTTGCTATCATATATACATCTATATCATATATCACATATAACCCCGTGCGTTTCTCGCCCCTGTTTATATAACTGTGCCTTCCCCGATTTGGGATTAGCACACTCAACAGGATTCAAACTACATGGTCATCTCGCTATCTTTATTGGTAACAAAAAGGGCATAGCCACTGCTCATTTCGTCTGCTATTCATTTAACAATTCGTAACTTTCAGACAACAATAAGAACTACTGGCACGTACTGTCTCTATCTTTCGCAACGTCTCACCAAAGCAGAGCCTCATTAGATACGCACGCACATTCGAACACGCATCACCTCATAGTAGACCTCACTACTAACATTTCCCCATTCCTTGCAAGGGGGCTCCCTGTACCACTGTCGCGCGGGTGCTGGTCAAATCCCACTTTGATTACTATTACGGAGATAATGTAATAATCAATATAGCGTTTGCGAACGTCTATGCCAACAAACAATAGCCATGTATGAAGCTGATCATTAGGATTTTTCGAATTAATATTTACAACTATCGTTGCTACGGTCAAATTCTGCTGAAAGGTAATCGCATCGTTTGTGCGTTCGAAACAGAGAAAAATAATTATGAAGAAAACGGGTTAATAGCTATGGCTCTTCTCCTCAGCCAGTTCAACTTTATCGCTTCCATAGAACGGACACTTCGATGTTTAACCTGATTTATCTATGGGTTTTCTTTGACAATCGACGTCCATCTATCATAATCCTTGTCGTTATCATCAATAAATGTATTGGCCAATTGAACGACGTTACTGATACATCTGCACAGTTTCATAGGGATGCGGCCAATTTTCGTGTACTCCCTCTTAAACGCTTTGGATCAGTAAAAAGTGGCCACCCACTCATGATTAGTTTTCTAATGTGTTTCCTTCCTATCCGCTATGTATAAAAAAAAAAAAGTCTCTTTGACGTATATGCAATATCTAGGTGGCACGTGTTGGTTACAACTAACACTAAAATGGACCCTTTTACAGCCAAATTGACTTGATGTAAATTACAAAATGAACCGCGTCTTCGATTATGGCGTTACTACTATTAAACGTGTAAATAATTTTCATTCTAATCTAACCCTCCAAGACAATTTTATGATACGATAAGTAAGTGCTTATTTGTAAGGAATCCTTTGTTCTTTACTTGGCGCTACATTATCTATGATAATAATCTTTAATACTTTTACTTGTTAATGTTTATGTGTGAACTGCGTTGTGTGGAGCGAATTTAGCTGGTCTAGCCGTTGGGCGTTTAACGGGAACACAATTGTAAAATGTGCACGTTAGATATACGTAAATGTATGTAATTAGACCACCGCACATACATAGCATCCCGTTCTATCTTCAGATTGGCTCGCGTAGTTTGGTAGCCGCTTTATCTTTTCCTTAGTTTATGGGAGGATGAATGCCGAAGATCTTGCCATTCTCGGGTGCCTATCTTTGGTATAGAAACTAAAAGTAAATGAGAAAATCAGGAATTGTTTCAGAAAGTCAAAAGGTTAATCATCCGAAACTTGAACGTTTACACAGCGCTTTATGCTACGGCATAAAGACGTTGACGATATGTCAAGCTTGCGGGTTTCTTTATTTAATCGCAGCTTACTAAATATCGTTGGTGGGGCTAGGGCCTTTGAGGTTGAGGTATAAAATCTGGTCATTAGCGAAAATCCTCAAAGCAAAATGAAACCCAGAGAGGAAAGGTCAAGTGTTTAAAAGGGGCAGGGAGTTTAGGTGGGATCTTCAGCAAATGGTTGAAAGAATGATTGAAAAAATAGTCGGAATATTTATTGACCTTAATTGAAGGTGGTACCGCTATTGTACAGGCGTATGTGAGCAGACGCCAACCTTATTGACCTCAGGCAAAAAACCTCCCTTGCATTTGGCAAAATTTAGAAAAAAGTATCTCAAGAAACTGGTAAATGGAAAACTGTTTACGCCGTTCCAAAAACAACAAATTATATCAACGTGGTCAACAGTCCACCAAAGGTGTAAACGTGGCGGGAAAAAATCATTTTGTAAAAGCATTGCTTTACTCCGATGCTCCAACATTTTAACTTCCCAAACTTCCGTCTTGCTCACTCCTCCCCACCTCCAGACTCCCCCGCACAAATTCATTAACCGCACGTTTCACTCGCAGCCACCCCGTCAGCCATGTTGCCAAATTCACAGGCTCACGACCCCCTATACCTAGCGCATCATCAATGAACCGTGTCATCAAGCCGAAGCGCAATGCGCTATTGCAACCGTGTCTGTAGGTGTAAGAGGCAACCATACTAAATAAATCTAGGAAGTGTGGTGCAGCAAAGCACTCCTAAACGGTGTTTTATCTTGACATTGCGGTCCGTAATAACCCGTGTTCCCGTGATAGATGCAGTGGCACAATAAACTTTGCCTCGAGCATTGTCCCAGTGGCATTCTCCCCATGAGAATGGCAAAAAGTAAGTTAAATCACCGCGACCAACCACCCACGGAGGCTCTCCGAGCGATCACGTTCCTATTTTGTTGTTTACCCCCGACAAAGAACATCATCGTCGGCGTCTTCAAAAAAAAACCAAGAAGAGAAGTTACAACATGTAAAAGAAGAGGGACAAAATGTGCGCTCGCAAATGATGGGGACAACGAAAAAACGCACGTCAAAAACATGGTACCAATTCTGACTTCCCCCCAGGGGGTTTTCCTCCCGATAAAGAAGAAAAAATAGAGAAAATAACAAAACTGTAAACATCTAATATAGACATAACACAGGTGCGTCGTGAAACGTTTACGGTGGTATGTTTTTACTTGATCACTGGCGCGATATGTCATTTTGTATGGTTTATTGTCGTTACGAAATAAATTGAAACAATATTCCACTATTGCATTCGTTTGGGCAAGTTACA